AAGAATATTGGAATCATCGAGAAACTATACTGGGAGCAAACCGCCTGAATGCAGATAGAGAATGAATTAAGTAAGTATACAAAAATAGAAAAGGATGCATTATATGGATGTGCCTCTTCAGTGACGTGATACTGAGAGAATTAAAAGGCCTGCCAGGGTACATGATTGGCAGCAACAGTAATAACAATATAACATATGCAGCATCCCGCTCTCACGCTTTCACTGTCGAAACTCCTAAATGTAGCCGTCTCTTCTACTCCAATAGCTTCATGTCTCTCACCTCTCGCCTGTGGAACTCCCTACCCTATTCCAGTTTCCCTGAGAGCTATAATCTCCAACTATTCAAATGTAATGTCAATCGACATCTCCAGTTGCCTTGATCTATCCACTATCCTTCTCCTCATCCTTTCTTCTATCACTCCTATCTGATATTGGTCCAAATCTTCTGTAACCCCCTGCGTCCTAGTGGCTTCCCGCCTTGCTTGGGGTGAAAAGCTTAAAAAAAAAATGATGAGACAGAATTGACAGAAAACTCATGAAGGAAACTACAAGAACTCCTACAGAAGATAGAGAATGAAACCGAAAAGTAAGGAATAAACATTAACTGCAAGAAGAGAGAATGTATCGTTGTCAGCGAAAATATCAGTCCAATATGCAAATTACACACTGAAGATATCAAATTAAGCAAATACGACAATTTACATAAATATAAAGTTTTAAAACAAAAATCCGGAAAATGCAACAGGGAAATACGAAGTGCAGTGGGATAGCGAAAGATGGCTTCCAAAAGTTAAGCAAAATATAAAGAAACAGGAAAATTTCGTCACAGACGAAAACAATGGTACCAGACTGTTATGCAATCTCATTTCTTCTATATGCCAATAAAGGCTGGACAATCTCCACACAGATAAAGAAAGTCAACAGAAATATGGTTCTAGAGAAGGACACTGAGAATTCCTGGAAATGAACATGTGATCAATGACGAAGTCTTAGAGAAAATGGAAACTAAACGGATTATTATAATTAACATCAGAAAGCAAATGTTGAAATTTCTAGGTTGCATAATGAAGAGAGAAGACTTGAAAAATTTGATACTCACAGGGCATATCAAAGGCAAGAAAGTTCAGAGGAAAACTACATAACCTATCTAACCAGCCCGTGCCAATGGGTTTAGGAGAGGTAACAAAAAACAAAATTTACTAAGAGCTGCATAGGACAGAAAATTATGGAGAGCCATGAACGACAAAATCCTGACGAGACATATAAGCAGGGTGTCTTTCAGTTGAAGGTAAAACTAATGGTCTGACGAGAAATCAAAGTGAGAATGTCAGAAGTCAGAATTATTGCCAAAATTGTATATAATTATATTTAGAACAGATTGAGCCTCGCATAAAAAGAACATCATATTGCCTCGTCACTTTAGGTGATAGGGACAACACGTGTACTGCAACGTTACCTATGAAGGAGCGTATTCCTATTTAGAGTTCAAAGGAATAGAGAGGAATTCGCTCCGTCAGGATATCTTGCCGTAGGCACAAGACGGTTTGTAATGATGCAGTACGCATATTATTCCTTCTGGGTGCCAACCAAAACTACCCATCCCTGTCTGCTCTGCTCTTGACAGCAATGACCCCATGGGAACGTTTTACGCCAATCACACTTTTTTCGTGTGAATAACCACTAAACAACATGCAAATATGTAACGGTTAGATTTTTCCTTCTCGTAAACTAGGTGCCAGCCAAGACTACCGCGCTCGGTCTGCTTTCCTCTTGACGGCAATCGCCTCAGAAGAGCTTCGAATGTAGTATAGCAATCATTTTCTTCGCGCGAATAATCACTACGCATCGTGCACATGCAAATATATAACGGTTAGATTTTTCCTTCTCGTAAACTAGGTGCCAGCCAAGACTACCGCGCTCGGTCTGCTTTCCTCTTGACGGCAATCGCCTCAGAAGAGCTTCGAATGTAGTATAGCAATCATATTCTTCGCGCGAATAATCACTACGCATCGTGCACATGCAAATATATAACGGTTAGATTTTTCCTTCTTGTAAACTAGGTGCCAGCCAAGACTACCGCACTAAGTCTGCTTTGCTCTTGACAGCAATCACCCGCCTCAGAACTTCGTATATAGTATGCCAAGCCCTTTTTTTTTTCGTGCGAATAACCACTACACAAAGTACACAAGCAAATACTTGAGGTTTAGATTTAAAAGTTTCTATAGGTAGCTACACAACAGGTTCTTTGAAATTTACTTCCTCTGGTTGAAGACGAGAACAACGACAGCTTAACGCTTGAAGTGTCCTCCGGTGAATTGTACGACTCGACAAGTGCCGTGCTGGATAATAGTATTTAAAACATTTTTATATATCCGTCACGTGTTCCTTGACCACGTTGATTAGTACAAAAACGTCATAGCATACTGTTTTGTTTAAGCAATGTTTAATTTCAGGAATCATGGCTCTCCATAGCTTCATGTCTTTTAATCCTTTGCCATCATTCTTTCTTCTTGTTCTGCCATTGGTTCATTTTATGTAGATTACTCTTTATGTCCTCTCTGATCATTTTGTCTTCAATGTGTATTAAATTCACCAAACACACTTTATACATTAAGTTTTATGTTTTCTTGTAGTTTTGCTTGGGATTTTTTTTTGTTAATCACCTGTTCTGTCAAATTATTCTGAATATTCTTCTGCAGAAGCAAATCTTATCGTCCCAAGTTAAGTTTTATCGGTGAGGAGATTGCCACTATCATATAAGATATATGTTAGTAGTTCAGCCTTTGTTTTCAAAAACATTTTTCTTTCTAACTTCCTCACTCAGAGCTAGAAAACCCGTTGTAAACATATTTGTTACTTGTATAATAATATATTATTTTTTTGACTCGACGACATAAAAAAAATGCAAACTTGGACGTTCCTGCCTGCAAAGAAACGGTTTCTCAAGAAACGGTTTTGCTCAACGGTAATGCACGGCAGTATGTCCGTGCAGCGTTATAACTTTTGTACCCTTCCTTGAAGTACTGTCCATCGTAGACAATGGCCGTAGGACAACTAATCGACAATGAAGATAATAGTGTCTGGACGTGATAAAACTCTGATGTAATCACGGTTGGCGCAATATTTTTCAAGGCTAAATAAATTTCATCATGCACTTCAAAAACAGATTCATATAACTGCACACCACTGCAAATGGTCCGATGTGAGGAAAAAATGAAAATGGATTACACCCTGTCACTTCAGAGGTCTAAAACTGACAGTGTGGTAAAAGAAACAGTTGTTTCAATTAATTTGCACAAGTGTGTAAACATATGACAAAAGTAAAATTATACTTTTTTCTTGAAAATCTACAACAAAAATATTTAGCAATATATTTTATTAAATTGTTTATTTACAAAGAATAATTTTCTATTTACACCATTCTAAAATCTAATACAATTACAACTAATGCTATGCAGTTTTTATCATTTACCAATTTATAAGGAAATAAATATGAAAACGATTCTTTATTCATAAATTTGATAAACATTTACTAAATTATTAAAATACTAGTCGAATTACACATTTTTTGTTAGACAATGATGATTGACTTTAAAACATTGTTATAAATTGTGGAGAAAATGATGCATTTCAATATCATTCAATGATGTTGCCGATGTGAGCTCCATCTTCTGGATTTCTCCTTCTATATTTCGGATAGGAATCATTCTCTTGTTCAGATTTAAATTTCAAAGAAAAAATATTCAGTGGCGAGTTTGTGCAAAAACATCTTGATCTGACCCCTTTGATATGTATTTGATGCAATACTTGATTGAATGAATTGATGAGCAGATTTCAAATTTGCTATGACATTTGAATTGTTGCAACAAATATGTATTTTAATGCACTACCCAGTAATTGGTGAGTTTTTACTCAACGTGCCGTCCATATTGTCTCATTTTGATCTTGCTTTTGTAATCACTATCTTCTGGCTTTCTCTTTAGATAGGAATCATTCCGTTATTCGAATTTAAATTTAATTTAAATCAAAGGGAAACAAAAATATGTTGGGGCTATTGCTCCACCAATCAGCCTCCCTTTGTTCAAAATTAAATATGCATACCGTAGGAGTCACTCCATTGTTCAAATTTAAATTTAAGTTATAGCATGGGGAAAAAAATTCAGTAGGTACTGAAACGACCCAGGGTATCCCATTTGCTCAAAATGAAATATACTTTCCAAGTACCCTGGCTAATGTAGTTTCAGAATATATATTGTTATGGGGGTCTGTCTTTATATATATATATATATATATATATATATATATATATATATATATATATATATATACAGAGAGAGAGAGACAGAGAGACAGAGACAGAGATAGACAGTGAGGGGAGAGATATGTGAATCGAATTTAAGGAAATCCTTATTATTTACCATTTTAAAAGTTCGAATTGATTAGCAACTGGCCGATGTTTTAACCAAGCATTTCAATGAACAATAACATGAATAAATAGTGCAATTAAAAAACTCTTATAAAGAAAGTGTTTATTATTTTTGTTTTCAATTTTCAAGAACATAGAAAATGTATAATTTCACTTTCATATACTTAGCTCTTTTTAAAATTCCAATCATAGGTTTTGAAAATATTAGACATTGTCAAGTGGTGAAGGTAGTTAAAATCATAGTGGTGTCAATGGAACAACTATTATTTTAACACCCCATTTCTTTGCTGTCATGAAAGTCCAAGTTTGTTAGATGTATGTTATATTACCAAAGATTATCTAAACATTTGCTGAAAGATATATTTTGCGAATTAAACTAGATTCGGCTTCAATGAGCATGCTTTATGGAAGTTTAAGAATAAAATTAAAAAAAATTTAAACACAGACCCATTGAAAGCGTTTGAAACTCATGTCTTAAGTTGCATTAAATTCGTTGGATTACAGTCATAGATAAACATTGAACAATATATTATACAAATTGGATGAAGACGAAATATTTATTCTTCTTTATATATTATTTAAACTTGTGTTGGGATAGAGAAAGTGCCAATGATTGATCAGGCAATGGCATATCAAAATTGTCCTTACCCCATAGCCAATAAGTACTCATCAAACCTCGCCCTTTCACTTCTCGCTTTCCACGGGATTCCATATGAAATCCGCCCAGTTCATCTAGAATCTCAGCAGTAGACTCACTGAGTTGAATACGCAACGCTTGCGAGCTGGACTCCATTCGTGATGCTGTGTTCACAGTATCACCGAACAAACAATATCTCGGCATTAACATTCCCACAACACCAGCAACTACAGGTCCAGAGTTGATGCCAACTCTCAGCTGCAATGTTGCTTTTGGTTTATGTGGTATCTGAAATGTAGTAACTGTGGACATCAAATTTAGAGCCATGGTTGCAATTTCCGAGGCATGCTGTAAACCATTTCTTTCAGGAACTCCGCTCACTACCATATAAGAATCACTTATAGTTTCCACTTTGTATACGTCGTATGTGTCTAGCACTTCATCAAATGCATTATAAGTCTCGTTTAAAAAGTCGACAATTTGGAAAGGTGAACTCTCTTGACAAATAGAAGCAAAGTCGACAATATCACTGAAGAAAACGGTTGCTGTTGGAAAGATTTCTGGTGGGACCTTTCGTCCGTGTTTGAGTTCTGCAGTCACTTTTCTTGGCAACATCTGACTCAGAAGTTGCTCAGCTCTTGCTTTGTTTACTTCAAGTTCCCTTGTCCGTTCGACAACGATCATTTCCAAATTTGTTGAGTATGATTCCAGGAGATTGATGAGATTATCGATCAGTTCTCCTTTAACAGGGTGGATTTGATTCAAGTTACTTCCTATTCTTTCGAATGTTGGTCTTCCTGACGGGCTTTCATTCCAAGTATCATCAAGCATTTTCAAAAACTGTTTCTTTTGAAGACCAGATTCCGGTAGATATTCGTCTTTGATGATAGGTCGGCATACAAACATGTCAGATCCCCCTATTTCTTCCCATATTTTAGTAGCTTCTTTTCTTTCACGAGTATCGGTGTCAGTTATCATATCCAAAATGGCCTTATCACTAATAAATTCCAGTTCGTAATCATAAGGTTCGGCTCGAGTAATAATTTCGGTAACAACGATGGAAAAGGAATATGAGTCACCACTTACTGTGCCGTATTTCACATCATCAAGTGAAGTTACGTTCTCAAGCAATTCAGGTGGTGTCCAGAACAGTTGTTTTATATCTTCTTTTAATTCACCTGGCAAGCGGAAACGCCCAAATCGAATGGTATGGGCACCGAACCCAGATATACGAACTGTCCATCGACTATCAATTAAACAGTTGTGTGATTTTAACCGGCCATGTGACCCAATAGACGTTTTCTCGTGTAGAAATCTCATTCCCGAGCAGATGTCTTTCATAAATGAGAATTTAAACTCCCAGCCAAGGTCAATTGAATCATTAAGAAGAATATCATTTAAACTTCCTTTGTCGGCGACCTCCAGAAAAAGACAGACGTTTGGAGACGTTAAGCATGCTCCTCCGTATATTATCAAATTTCGATGTCTGATTTTCACAAGTTCTACCATTTCCAGGCGCATCTCAGCTATTTTAGGGTCTATGGTCCTAGAGCTAATTGCCTTTCCATACCATTTTTCATTTTTCCATAAATAGGTATTAATTTCTTTTTGACTAATTAATGTACTTATGTCACTCACTGACGTCTTACTAGTTGTTATTTCTTCGGCAACGTACTGAGTTACATAAGGCCATTCAACGATCCAGTCAGTATTTGAAAGCGCTTTATTTCTCTCGGCATGTTTCAAGATATATCTGACTAAAAGTGAAACAACACAAACGATGAGTGCGCCTCCTAAGAATAATGGAGCCAAGACTAAAGCGAGGTGTGTGTCACAGGATACACCAATCCAAAGCCTAGAATTGCATCGACACTTATCCGGTTCTACACATTTGCCGTGTTTACAAGAAGCACAAATAGCAATATTACACTCCAGACCTCTCCAGCCGTGATAGCAATAACAATGTGTAGTGGAGATACATGTGCCATATTCGCATTTACAGCTGATAAGTTCGCAAAAGTTTCCATGAAAGCCGGTATTGCATAAGCATCGTCCACCTATGTCACATCTACCTGTATCATACTCATTTATGTCCGCCGAACTCAGAAGGCTTTTCCCACAATCGAATTCACAAAAGAACATAGGGACGATACTTTCTGTCCGCGTGAAGGGAATAGACGGCCAAGGTTCCGATGGATGAGGAACTATTGATTGTGTTAGCTGGTTGACCATTCCTGAAAGAGACTCATATGTTCTAATATTGTATTTCGGACTCACTGGAAGTATCGCTTTCGATCTCGGATCTTTGGGGTCGGTGCCAGGTCTCCAAGCTATGTATGGAATTTCTAACTGTTCTTCCTCTGACACATGTATTAATGATCTCGTAAACGTAACCATCATTGATATGTGAGCTCTATAATTGTCTTCTTTAAATGGATTAACTTGTGCTAAGAATCCAAAGAAGCCAATGCGATCGCCATTTATATCCAATTCTAAGTTTCCAGTAAGACCTTTGATGCTATAACCTCGAGAATATTTCGCAATTTTTATGTGGCTCAGAGTCTCTCTCTTTGAAACAATTCTTTCAATAGTGTTCGCGTATAGCAGGACGGCGTCATAACCTAAGGCCATTTTTGCTCCGACTTCAGGAGGTCGGTATTTAACCCTTCCCCCTTTGTAAAGAAATCGGTCAACAGCAAAATGGTAGCCAAGAACGCGCACCCAGTCTTCAGTGTTGTAACCAGATATGTTGTAGGTTTCGCTAAAAAGATACGTTGACTTGAATGCCTTAGTACATGGGATTCCAATATTACATACACCTGCATTTGAAAATGGAAATTGCCAACTGTATTTACCGAAAAGAATCCATTGATAACCATAGGAACTATCAAGGTTGGCCATTTGGGCAGCGCGAATTATAAATGGCTGCGTACTTCGAGTCGCAAACAGTACTATTATCTTAATGCCAAACGATTTTACCATGCCCATCTCATACTTTAAGTCAACAGGTTCACCAGGATCGAATGATGAAATATCAACGTCAATGATGGCTTTAATCTTTATTCCCAAATCATTGGCTGTATCAAAGTAGAACTCAGAGAAAGAGATCGTTTCCTCTTTCACAATTATAATGTTACTCCACCTCCGTGATTTGCAAGCGAGTAAAACACTTTTAAAAATTTGCATTTCAGACAAACAAACTCTGTTGAAAAGCGGATAGTTTTCTTTATTGCTAAACGAATATGCCGTATTGGAAGTGCTGAATAACGCCGCTCCGAGTTGCCACAGTTCAGCGCTAACAGATTTTGTTATCGCCTCCGATGTTGAGCTTATTATTAACATTGTTTTTCTTTTAACCTTAGGATTGGTCTCTATTGTCATCAAGGCTTCGTATGCTAAATGAATGTCAGATTTAGTCTCGAATGTCAAAATATTAAAGAGAAATCCTTGTTTTGATAAATAAGGCATCATACGACCACTGTTGATATCATAAGCGGCAAACCTTATAAATGAATTTGTGTGGGATTGCACTTGAGGACCATCTCCACTAAAGCGAAAATCGCCAAAATGGCCAATGTTCAAGATGCCATCCACTTTAAAATATGGTGTAAAAATTGAACTATTTTGTCTATTATTTGGTATAATCTCTATAGTGACATTATCAATAATTTGACAAACCGAAAGTATTATCTCCCCAAAACCACCAGTAATTTCTTTAGTCGCATCAGATGATATGCACACACTTTTTGGAATTGTTTTATAAATCAGTTTAAACTGTGAATCCGTACCAGAATATATTCTTCGTTTGTATTTGTCATTTGCTGTCACAGATATTTTCCCCGGAATTTTTATGTTTCTTGTCAAAGGAAAAAGCTTCGTTACTGGGTTTATATTCTCCTGGAAATACTTATTAGTTTCATCGGTAAAAGAGAGTTTATAAAGTTTCTGTTCGATAACATCAAATACTCGAGTGAGTTTGACAGCCAAGAGTTTATTCATCAAATAAGTATCCGGTTCTTCAAAAGTCACATCTGTACCGTCGGCGCTAATAATTATTCTAGAGAGATCGTCATAACATTGCTCACAATTTGGTATTCTCAACCAAGGATCCCGAATCCTGGTCATTGTAAGGTTGAGTTTCAGCTTTGTGGCAGGATCCAGTATCCGTACATCGTCGAAGATAACTTTCCCTTTCACAGCTTGTTTTCTTATAACCCAATCGTAGTTTCCTTGGTGAAGGATTATTCCCTTACCAGAGAGCCGATATGGTGAACTCTTTAGCAGCATTCGTCGACTTAATGTATTGCTAAATTTTTTCAAATAATACGGAACTGTAAGATCAACATTGACCACGGAATCAAGTCCAGTGGTGACAACTGAATCATTCTTATATCTTACCTCCGCAACAATCGTGAAATCGTCATTGGCATTTACACTCTTCGGTGGTTGTTGCGTGATTGTTAAGTGGTGAGCCGGCTCAGTAATTAGAAAAGCATTCGATTCAGCTTTTAAAAATCTGTTTGACAGAACAACGCGCAACACTCTTTTGTTCTCTGGTACGACGTTATGTTTGTGATAGATCCAATCCAAAATGATTTTTCCATTGAATGCTGGCACCAAAAGTGTTGTTTGTGATATATCCGATCCACATCTGACTTTGTGAAATTTACGGTTAAGCCGATCGGGATAATCTAACCACCATGCCGATTTCTGACAGAGTTTCCCACCGCTCGAAGCCCAAGTATCCGGATAGCGAGATGAGTATGCTCTTTTCGCGTCTACTGTAGACACTTCGAATGTTTCTGAAGCAACTTTGTTATTATTTACTCTCGTTCCGTTCAGGAATTGAATGTAAATGATTATTGGTTTACTTACCATTTGATTCAAAGGTACGGAATAGTAATAATCTTTTGCATCTAATGGAATTATAGGAGGAGGAGAATAGTCGGCATCAAACAAAATATGATATTGGCAAAAAGCAAACGGCAATGTAAATAAAACAATAAACCATGACTGAAACATTTTGGATTACAGCATTAGCACTATTTTACTATGTATGTTGTTATTATTCTCCACATAGCATGGTAACTGAAGATATTTAAGAACTTTACGTAAATATAATATGTGAAATATATAGCGTCTTTAAGCAAGCTTATCAGCATTTCATCTTGGTTTACATATCACAACAGCTATTGTGACGTCATATGCGAGCCGCGTGTTGACGTTTTGCTAAATCAACTTAAAAGTAGTTGAACAAAGTTTGAATAAAGTATCTATAAACAAAATGTTTTTTTTGTTTTGTTTTGTTTTTTTAGTATCCTCTGCCAGCCGCAATGATGAAGAAAACATTACCCCGAACCATCACCAGTGAGACACGCTGCAACAGCCAATCCGTTTTGCGAGGCTCGACGCTTAACCGAGACGCAATCGCGCCAGTCCTCCGAAGGAACGCCATCGAACGAGGGCCAATAACCCCAGAAGTCTCCACTGCCAAAGGAGTAAAAGAAAAATCTGTCAGCAAGAGAAGACATATTTAACTATTTTATTATTATTATTATTATTATTATTATTATTATTATTATTCGCGTCCCGAGCGACAGACCTCGGCTCAACCGCGGACCTGATCAAATTGCCGACCGAAAAAGTCTCGACACAGGTCGTATCCCACATCAACGACTTCCCCATTTTAAAAGGGAAAATGGTAATGCCATCCGACCGCTTTCCATCACCACGGGCGAGGCCTACGGGTTCGATTTGTGAACGGAACCCAGCTGCATCCAGACCTATTCTGATGATGTCGTTTATTGCTGCCTGCCTTGGAAAGCGGCCTGCACTACGATATTTTTACAGATCACTTTCAGTTTTTATTCAGTCCTTCACAACGTGGCCTATCCTTAGGTTAACCTAGTCTCTTTCCTTCTCTCAGAGATAGTGGGAGAGACTGTGTTTCTTGGATTCGCGCCTTTTATACCATTGTAAATATTCCACTACACATCTAAAATTTATATATATATATATATATTTGTAAAAAAAAAATTATATAAACGTGTCTATATTTTTTACCATCATGAGGGTATAATTAGTCCCCATGTGAAAATGCGGTATTTTGGTAAATGTTCATATGGAATGGAGAGAAATGAGTTTTTTGATGCCTGTCAAAGGTTAGAATGAATGGATCGTGAATCTACCTCACTAGGATCAGGATTGTTAATACTAACCAGCCATATCCCTTCCTCCACCTTCAGCCTTGTGCTGCAATTGCTCCAACTGTTTGCTTTCTCGCATTTCCTGCTTGTGGATCTCCCTTCCGTTTGTCTCCTTGATATATACAATCTTCAAAAACTTTAAATGAAAGGTCAATCGACATCTTCAGTATCCCTGAAATCGTTCATCTTTTATACTCTCATCACCCCCCCCCCAATCAGTCTTTTCTCTCAATTTCACTGTACCACCCTGAGTACTAGTGGCATTCCCGCCTTGCTTGGGGTAGAATTATTTAAAAAAAAAGA